GCATATACATGTTTTCGGGCGACAGTGCAGAGCATCGCCCCCTTCTCAGAGGAGTCCGGGCTTCATGAAGCTGACGAGGCCCCGCTGGTTTGTGTTTTCTGTAACAGGGAGAACGAGGGTCAGCCCCCAGAACCTCCCTTTGCATGCACTGCCTTCGCAGGGTCGGGAGCTCCGCCTGCCCCAAGCCCTTATTCTCGGAGTCCCCACCCCTCCTCTTCTCCATCTCCGCCCACCCCCCCACCACGGGCCTTGGGTCAGTTGGAACACCGCAGCCGAGAAAGTCCATGCTCCTAGGGAGGAACCAGGGCTTTCTGGGCAGGGGACATTGGGCGGTCACTCTGCTTCCCAGAGCCACCTAGCTCTGCCATGATTCAGAAGCTTTGTCCTGGAATATGGCCTCCTTTCCTACCTGCCTGCAGGTCTGGAATATCCCATTGGCAATTGTGGCTGTAAATGTTTGACCAGGCAGCAATGAATCATTAGAGATTTCAAGGCCGAGGTATGGGGTGAGGATCAGCAAGGGGCCGTGGTGCGCCTTCCAAGCCGAGCTCAGCTATGTGACCCTGGCACACGCGCCTCATCCCTCCTTCCTTTTGCTGAGCGGTAGAAGTTGGGGCCCCCTGGGGAGATCTTTCTCCTTGAGGAAGCATGGCACCACGGCAGATGCCAGGGAGAAGTGTGTGGCACCCAAGGGTGGCATGAAGACACTGGAGCATTCATGTGGCACATGGCCAGGCAGGGCAAGGCTCATAAACACCGCAGGGGCCTTTGTGCGGGATGGGGTGGTTCTCACTCCACCCGAGTATTGTCAGGCGATATCATGTTGACCTGCCCATCGAGGGGATGTGGCTACAGTGGACATGCGCTTGGATCGTGCAGTCCAAGGAGGGAGAGGGAGCGGGGAGAAGTTCCTATCCTGGACACACAGGCACGAGGTTGCGCCGGGGGCACTGGTGGGAACCTGGTTCGTTGGGATGGAAGAGGAGCCCAAGCAGGGGTGGGACATCTGTTCTCTGTGGGACAAAGGTAGGAGTGGGTAGAGGACCACGAGCTGGTGGCTTTCAGCTCAGTCTAAGGCAAAGGCATCACTTTGAAGGCAAAGGTGAATCCTGCCCGTGATGTTTTCAAGCAGCTCATACGCACGGAGAGCCCAGACAGCCAGTAAGGAAGAGTGGAGAGGAGTGGATGCCTTTGGATCGTGCTGTGGGTGAAGTAGAACGTCCAGTCTGCCCAAAGAAGGAACCAAACCCTCTCAGAGGAAGTCCAGCCAGAGTTCCCCGTAGAGGCGAGGATGGAGAGACTCTAGCTCACGCACGTTGGACCTGTGATCAGGAGGGACCAGCCCCCCAGAGAAGGACATTGTGCTTGATAAAGTAGGAGGGCAGCTACAAAAAGAGCCCCCCACCCCCAAGAGATGCATGGAAGCAGCGGCTGCAAGAACAGGCTCAAACCTAGCAGCAACCGTGAAGGTGGCGCAGCGTTTCGTTCTGTTGGTGCCACTCCCGGTGCCACTCTGAGTTAGAATTAGCTCCATGGCACCAAGCAGCAACCACAAGACAGAGGGTGAGGATTTCAGAACCATCCAATGGCAGAGCCCGGGGACTTCCCCATCCCTCGTTGTCTAGGCAAAAGCTGCCGAGCCCACTGGGAGCATAGGCTTCTATGGCACCCACCTGCCCTGATGTCTCCTCTCTTCTCTGCCTTCTTGCTTACCCGCACCCCCGCCCCCCGCCCCCCAAGTCTCAACCCGCATCCTGAGTCTGTGCTCAGCTTGGAGTTAGATCTGGGAGCAGCCCGTGGACAAGGGTCCCTGGGTAGGGGTGGATCACCCAGAGATTAGCAGTCCGTTGGGCATGCCTGGGATGTCTCTGAATGCCGGACCAGGATGATATCTGCATGCTGAAGAGAGTGAGCAGGGAGGTGGCAGGGTCTAAGCGGTGCTCGGAGCAGGCTGGTCAGAGGGTGCCAGACTCAGAGGACTCACCGACCATTCCAAGAGCCCGTGTCTCCCCGGGGTGATGGGCCAGCACCTAGACCAGGGTGGAGGCCTGGGCAGGGAGGGCAGCAGATGCATGGCATGCCGGGAGAAAGGAAAGCAGCGGGCAGTGACTCATGGTGGTTTTGGGAGGAGCGGACATGGGAGCGAGCCATCCCAATGGCTGGTGCTAAGCCAGGAGACTAGGCGAG